GGTAATATTATTGTATTTTATAAAAATAATTTTGAAATTCCAAGTGCTAAGAGTGGATTTTAGTTGCTTTGCTGTTCATGTTCTGGAATAAAGGTAAGATTTTCTATTTTTATATATTTATATATATATATATATATATATATGTATGTATGTATGTATGCATGTATGTATATTTTCATTTTATATATAAAATTCTTCCGTAGGGAGTATGATTTGATACTTCTCCTAAACGGTTTTTCGGATTTTGATAATTCTTTTTAGAGTTTGTCAAAGAAAATTTATTAGATTTAATGGTCGATAAAACTATAGTAATATTGTAGAAATAAATTGCAAAAATTACAAAAAACCACTCATCATTGTTTGACATTGAAAACATTTGAAATGTCATGTGCTAGAAATGTCAATTCACTTGAAATTTGAATTTAGCTCAAATTATGAGCCTAGATAATATTAGAATATAAAATATACAAGAAAAATGTAATGTCTACATTAGTATTGCCGAAAAGCAGCTGAGATGTGCCAGAAATTAAAATAAGATACAGTCAACTGTATATATTTTTGGCAGATGAAGATATATAGTTTAGTTTAATAAATAACGCAATAAGTCCAAAATTGCATATACATTTTTTTTTAAACTTATGCATGTTGCATTTTGGTTTACTTTACTAAGTTATTTAACAATGCAAAAAAATATTTCTACTTATTAAAAAATGATTTAGAATTTTGTTCCATGTGTCAAAAATTCATTTGTTTGGCATTGGATATAGAATATTTAGCAAGTTGATCTTAGATTGAAGAGTGAGATTTTACACATTAATTCACCTGAGATTTGAACATAAACAATAATGTTTATAAAATTATTAGTAAGAAAAATGCACTTTAGAAAATATAATTGCCAAAAAGCAACTAATATATCGTACGAGTTTATGAAAATTAGAGACTAAATTAATGAAGCAATTATGTTGTGTTGTAAAATCAAGTGTGATATTGTTCTTTTAACCGCAGTTACTGTATAATTTTTTTCTGAATTTTTTATACTACTAGTGCTAAGAACATAAATGAATCACAAAGGCAGGACATCAAATAGGATATTAAAAAGTATAGGAAGGAATATTAAAAAATTTGGAACTTTTGATTTGTAGACGTGGGTACAGCACAACGTCTGTCGGGTCACCTAGTATATATATATATATATATATATATATATATTTATATTTATATATATTACATTTTAGCGAGCTCTACAAGATGCATTGTTGTATTGAATTACTTCACTTTCAATATAGTATTTTTTTAATATGTCTACTTTGACATCTAATGATAAAATCAATATATGGTCTCTGAAAATTCTAAGATATTAATCATTATACAAAGCAACATGTACCTTATAGATCAGACACTTTCAGCGAGCTCTCCAGGATGCACTGTTTGTACTAAATTATTGAAATTTTAATATTATATTCTTTAAAATGTCTACTTTGACATATAAGACTAAAATCAATATGTTGCATTCAAAAATTCTAAAAAATAATGATTTTTTTTTTTTTTTTAACGAAGTACATCACTACTGAGTGACATATTGACAATTCACATATTAATAATCACATGGAAGAAGTAAATGTACCAGGATACTTTGTGTATTTTTAACGAGCTTTTCAGGCCAAAATGTTTGTACTAGCACTTTGCAATTTCAGTATATTATTCTAATTCAATACATTTTCTTTCAAAATTCTAAGATATTAAAAATTTTTTGTACAAAGTACGCGCATCAAATCAGTGATTTACAGGTCATGCATTTTAGCGAGCTCTACAGGATTCACTTTTTACATTAGATTGTTGTAACTACGATATGATATTTTCAGAAATGTTTAGTAATTTATACTTCTTGGTATCTTCAAAAATTAATGAAAGTCTGTCCTGGTAGAGTTAATTTTATTACCTACATCACCATCATACAACAAATTGTTTATTTTCTACTTTTTTTTCTTCAATTTTTGCACTTCTTTCTCTCACCCTCCTCATCCTCTCGACCCTTCTTATTATATTTTTTGAATATTTTATTGAAAACTTGCATCGTAAAATCGACATCTTCCTTATCGATACAAAGTGGCGGTTGAATCCTAAAAACATTACCATAGGCACCACCAACGCCTATAAGAACTCCTTCATCCTTAACCTCCTCCTGCATGTCCTCCACTTTGTTGGGGCACATTGGCACTTTTTGATCCTGGGGGTAAAGGATATATGAATGAAAAGACATACATTATATATTTATATACAGATATATATATATTATATATATATATATATATATATATATATATATATATATATATCTTATATATAAAATTCTTCTGTAACTATGTATGAATGATTAATCCTCCTAAACTATAATTCGGATTCACATGAATCTTCCTGAAGTTTGTTCGGGAAATTTTCTAGAATTTTTAGATTCATAGAAATATAGTTAGATTGTAGAAATAAATGAAAAAAATTACAAAAAAACCCGCTTATCATTGTTTGTCCTTGAAATTATTTAAGGCATAGTTTGACATTAAAAACAAATGAAGACTGTCATGTGCCAAACCTTTCTATTTACTTATAGGCTAAGGCAATATGAAAATATAATAAATTCATTATTATGAATGAGAAAATTGCAATGTCATTATTATTGTCGAAAAGCAGCTGAGATGCGGCAAAAATTAAAATAATATGATAAAATAGAGTCAACATGCGTCTGACAAGTGATGCAGTTTTGCGCATGCGTCTCACGTTTGTGAAATGTCAGTTAAATGTAATTACATACCATATATTAAAATTCAATTTGACAGATTATTATTTTTTAGCTTAATGATAAAGAAAAATTAAAAGCGTTGTTTGCTAATATCTTCAGAAATATACGTTTTAACAAAAATAATGATATGACCAAAATTATAAAAATTAATATCTTAATAAATCACTGTTTTTTAGTGTTCTAGGAACAATATTAAGCTAGATATGAAAATGGGGTTTTATAGTCCTCAAAATAAGCTTTAAAATGAGTATTTCTGCATGTAAAATGAGTGAGCTATCATGCAAATAAAAGACGCATACAATTTTATGTGAATCAAATAGTTTATGAGTGCCATTTCCATCAAAAGTAAAATTAATCGTATTCCATCTAGAAATAACTTGGTTTAAAAGATCTTGATGGATTCTAGAAAATACCATAACTTTAGTACAAACGATTTTCAAAAAAATCCTGATTTTATGAAAAAAATCCATTAAAAAAACAACAAATTCTCATTATTATATCTCAGAAATTTAAGGGTTTTTTCTGACTAATTATTGCTTTTTATTATGTTTTTGTTACACAAATATTGATAAAGTTATAATTGTTTAAAGAGTGCGCGACTGTAAACCAGAGTGTCTTTCAAGCCCTTTAACCCTTAGCCGTCTTAAAATAAGAAAAGTTACGGTAAAATTTATGATAGAGAAAGTTGTAGGTAATTCAATTTCCTTTAAAATAAATATTAAAAGTTTTGATAAAATCAGAATTAAAAGAGTTATAATTCAATCAATGTCGGGGGTGGTGAAGGAGTGCAAATTGTTTTCACTTCTGAACTTGAGATTAAGATTAGCCTATTTCCAACATATCAAGCAAATTGGAGCATAGTAAAAAAAATTTGCAGAGCACACGTTTTTTTCCTCTCTATTTACTGCAATAATTTTGTTTATCGTAGGTTGAATAGAGCACATGTGAACAGGATTTGACAAATAATTCACTTCAAATAATGTATATTGAATTATTCGTGAGAAAAATGTAATTAAGATATTAAAATTACTAAAAGCCAGTTAAAATATGGTACGAAATTATAAAAATTATAGGCAACTTTTCTGAAGCAATTATTTTGGGTAGAAACATTCAAGGTGATATTGTACCTATACCGCGAATGCTATATATTAATTCTATCTGAATATGTTATACCTTTTTTAAAGACTTCAATTTCCAATACGTATATTTTATGGTATAAATCACAAAGGCAGACGATTTTTCGTGTGATAAATTTGGAAAATCAATGTTTTAGTCGTGAATAAAACCTTGGCATTGAAATAAATTGAGCTATTGAAAATAAATTTGTTCTATTAATTGTAGTGTATAATTTTAATATACAATTTCATTGAACATATTTTAATATTTGTTAAAGGGATAATTAAAGTGTTAACTGTGCGAATTGAGAATCATAATTTAATTTGAAGACGTTCTACATTTAACATCACTTATATTTGTGCAAATATTGATTCGAAAAACAATAATGATTATTTTTAACTGAACGGTGTAAATATTAGTATAGGATATTAAAAAAATGTAGATGTGGGTACAGGACAACGTCTGTCGGGTCATCTAGTATATATATATATATATATATATATATATATATATATATATATATATATATATATATATATATAAACCTCTACTTACTTTCCCATCCTTGTCTTTGACAGTATCCACTAATTCTATACCCAAACTCAATCCTTTGCCTCGGACGTCACCAATCATATTAGGGAAAGCGTCTCGGAGTTCCATCAGTTTTTTCAAGGCGTGTGTGCCAACTTCGTCTGCATTTTTCATCAAACAATCCTAAAAAATAAAAAAATACTAAAACCATAGTTGATGTTCAATAAATAGAACATTTGTGCATTATTACCTTGTCAATTATGTCCATGTTAACCGAAGCCAAGGCGGTGACAAATGGATTTCCAGCATGCGTTGAAATATTTTTGGCTCTTCCAAGACATTCTGCAATTTTTGGAGTGGTTAAGACGGCAGACATAGGAAAACCTGAACAAATTCCTTTGCCGACTACCAGGATATCAGGGATCACTCCGAGTTGTTCGCAGAGGAAGAAAGATTTACCATTACGAGCAAAAGCTAAGAGAAAAATGATACAGTAAAATTGGAAGCCCAAAGTCAATGCATTTTTTTAGATTGTTATGTGTGATTTAAAGTTTTTGCCTGTTTGTATCTCGTCCAGCATAAAGAGACCTCCATTGGCTCTAACAACCTCTGCAGCTTTTTTGGCATATCCTTTGGTGTGAAGAATTATGCCACCAACTCCTTGAATTGGCTCCATCATCATACCAGCCAAACCCTTACAAGGAACACAATATCTAGAAAAAACACAAAAAAGTCGACAAACCTTGATGCAACTTCCAAAAATTTGTTAGATATAATTTTACTGACCAAGTACTATTATAACTAGGGTTTATATAAAAACCGACATTTCAGAAAACCAGTTTTCGAATTTTAATTTTACTAAAACACCGGTTTTAGCCGGTTTTCAAATTTCACATAAAAAATAAATTTTTGCTCGAATATTCTGTAATTTATCCGCAAATTTTGTGTAATTTAGAGCAGTATTTGACTGAATTTATTTATTGTTCAATTTCATAGATAGTAAACAAAATTATTTTAATTTTAATTAGTAGAACTAAAAAATAATAGTTTATCTTGATTAAATAGCTTTGAAAATAATTATGCGTTATCCATGCATCATTTTCACATATAAGAATGAAAATATTTTTATGATAGTGAAGGAAAGTTTTCGAATAAATGAAAATAATACATTTCTAAATAAAAAACAATCATTAAATTAAAAAAAAATTAAAAATATTAGATACATGTTGATACATACTTGTTAATATCAATTTTAGTTTTAAAAACAATTAAACTAAACTAGGGCATTGTCTGTTTCGAGTAATTTTAATTAATTAATTTTAAACATTCTAATTGTTGTTTCGTTTTATAAATACGACAAAAGAAATAAAAACTCTTAAAGCTTAGTTGTTTTTAAAGCCTGATATAATAATTATAAATTTTTTGTTCTTTAATTTCTAGGGTTTAAAACTCTTTTTTAAGTTTGAGTAGACGAAGTTACTTCTTCAAGAAGTCATACTGATCTAAATTAAAATACTGGTGTGAAAATCTAAATTAATATATACAAAACATTTCTGGGAACCATTGCAGACTGAGAAGATATCAAATGCTATTGAACCGATATGATTCGAGAATCAAAACGCTTTCATCTATCTTTTATATTTGACTATATTTGTCTTTTTCCATTTATACAGTAAAAACCAACTTTTTTCACTAAAAAACCGGTTTTTGAAATCAACAATTTTTGCCAAAAAACCGGGTTTTAAAACCGGTTTTTAAAAACCGACAAACCCTACTAAAAACCACAAAAAAGTTAACAAACCTTGATTCAACTTCCAAAATTCGTTGGATCTAATTTTACTGACCAAGTACTATCACCACTTAAATTTTTATAAACAAAGCTATCACCAGAATGACTAAACTGATCAATTTTAAGGGGCACAACTAGTGTAAACTTTTCAAAAATCGAATTTTCAATTTTCCATATTTCGATAGGTCATACCTTTAAAAATAACATACCAAAATATTAAATCGATACCTTAAATAGTTTTTGAGTTACAGCCATTTAAAGAGTATGTATATAGTATATAGTATAACGATCATTTAATCTTCAAACGCGTTTTTCTCGAAACAGCATTTTTCGAATTTGCTGCAGCGATTACTCAAAAACAAATGATCCGATCACTATCATTTTTTTATGTATAGTTCTCCGTAAATTGAACTATCGATTACTTGATCGGATCAAAAATCGAATTTTGGCAGTCCAAAAACGACCAAAATTTTGGGTAAAATTCGACTTTTTTTCAAAAAACGCCGTCATTTTGTCAATTTTTGATTTTTTTTCTTATTGTAGTTTATTTTACACACAATATTATCTAGTTTAACGAGAATTTTTTTTTTAAATTTCATCCACGTAGAAGGCCGGAATCACAGCAGCAGTGAAGGGCTTTTTTGTCGCGCCGTTGGAGATCGACGATAACTTATAAAATATTTAATTTTTTTTTTCGAAAATTTTACTGTGTATTCTTAAAACATGCATAAATATATTCCTAAAATTTTGAAATGATTGATAAAGTAGTTTTTTTAATATAAATTCCCAAAAATCACCTTTTTTAGGCGGTTACACTAGTTGTGCCCCTTAAGGTACCAATAGTAATTTTTTCCTACTGACTTTATTGTTTCCTTCAGCTGATCAATATACTTCTTGGTAGCCACACATTCGCCTTTATCAGGACACTTGCAAGATCTGCCTTTAACTTGGCAGATGGAATCACGACATTTGCTACCGCCCCAAAGTCCTTGATAAGGATCAGGATTCATCACATGAATAGTCGCACGACGAGCTGGTTCAGAATACCTATAGGCAAGGATAATAACTTCATGATTTGTGTTACTATTTTTATTATTATTATTTTGTTATATTTTATCATTTTTCTAGTATTATTTTATTATTCAGAAATTTTGTTTATATTATTTATTAATTTTATTTTCATTATTATTTGCTTTTATTTTATATCAAATCATATTACGGATATTATTTTCATGTAAATTTTATCCTTTGCACTTTTATTTATTCAGATTCATGTTATTATTCATCAATATTACTAGATGTTAATAGCTTAACAGTTGTAATACTTATTGAAATTAAAAAAAAAATGATTTGTGTTTAGATGGTACTATAATTAACTTTCCGTAGGGTAGTTATAGTAATGGGCCGAAAATCAAAAATGAAAATATTTGCATTTCTCGACGTTTTGAAGGTTTCTAAACATTTTACTGGCGCACCTCAGAAACTAAATGGATGTGTGTGTGTGTATGGATACAATTTTTCGGTCATGTTTTCGGGCGCACGGATCAACCAATTAGAATGATTCATTTACCATTTGATTCCTATTGATAGGGAGATGTGCTGATTAATTTTTGGCAAAGGCAAGTGCAGCCGTTACAGAGATATGGAGTAAAGAGTGCAGAAAATAGAAATCGAGTTTTTGAAAGAAGGATCATCCGAATTGTATGATCCAAAAAACATTCAATTAGTAATGATTGGGAGAAGAGGTGATTAGTTTTTGGCAAAGACACGTCCAGCGGTTTCGGAGATACAGTGCTAAATGTGCAAAAAATGGCAGTTTTTGAGTGAACTGAGCGTCCGATTTGAATGATCTAAAAAACTTTTTGCTTGTATTGACAAAACAATTGTTTTTGAGGATTGAAAATTAATACATCTTTTTTTTCCATAAAATATTTTTGTAATTTTGAATTAAAAATTCAAAAAATCACCCAGGCTAAGCACAGTCTAAGCGCCACTCATGGGGGGCAAACATAGAACAAATGATTTTTTTATCGTATTAGTGTTAGGCTCCTGCAATAGAGGGTTTTACTGTTCCCAATTTCCAAACTAACGTCGTTTGTCAGCCAACTCGTAAATCAAACTACTCGATAACGACCGATTACGAACGAATACTTTAGAAAAACAAAATAATTAATAAAAAAACAGATAAATAAAAAGAAAGTGATTCCAGAATTTCATTATTTATATACCAGAAATCTTAATCAAGATCCATTGCAGATTTTTTTGGAAGAATAAGGGTCGGAGATGTTCAATTTTCTAAATTATTTATATTGTTTGTTGTTCATAACTGGTGCAATACTGTAAAACGATGTCTCTCAGGAAAATATATGAATGAAAATAAATAGGGCCCCATAAAAAAGTAGCTCTCGGAAAGTACAAGAAAAGTCTCAAGCCCAATAAAACTCGACTGAGGCAGAAAAAAACCGTATATTTTTCTGCAAATGTTAGAAAATCTTGTCTATTCATTAATAATTGTGTTTTATTTAAATTATGTAAATATGTTTTATTGATATATTTTATTATTTATTTAAAAAATCGAAAATGAAAATTTTTATATATCTTTACGTTTTAAACCCTTCTGAACATTTTAGCATACCTTAGAAAAAATGGATGTATGTGTGTGTGTGCGTGTGTGTTTGTATGTGCGGATACAAATTTTTGTCGACGATTTCGGAAACACGGATCAACCGATTTGAATAATTCAAAAAACATTCGATTTGTATTGATAAGGAGACGTGCTGATTAGTTTTTGGCGAAGGCAGGTCTAGCCGTTCCGAAGATATGGGGCAAAAAGTGCCAAAAACGGTAACTCAGTTTTTAAGAGAACAGAGCGTTCGATTTGAAACATTTTATTTGTATTGACAAGATGAAGAATTGATCAAATTTTCTTGAAAACAGGTCTAGCGGTTTCGGAGATCTAATGAAAGAAGTAAAAAAAAGCCATTTGGCGGTCAAAAATGATCATTAGACATATGCACATGAAATTATCAGATATTTTACAGAGATTTTAACAATAAGTATAAATTTTGTTTACATTCCTATGGGTTCCGTACCAGTGTTTATCCGTTAGACGGCGGCGCGGCGCTTACGCACTTTGATATTTCGTCTCTATGCAGTTAAAGCAGTACGAATGCTTTGAAAAAAAGTTCAGAATAATAATAATAAATATTTCAAAATACACTTTTCCTCAAAATGTCTTTTTTTTCACAAAAAAGTAAATTTTTGTCAAAAATTTACAGTTTCTCAAAAATCTAATTTTTCAGAGTAATTTTTTTCAAAAATGTTAATCGTTTAACAGAAAAAAAAATTGGTACGGGAAGTACCAGCAATTTCCCTTAAGGCACGATGCCATACACCACTAGTTTTCTTACATAAATTGTACATGTGCAGTAAGTCCCCTAGTAGCCGGTGTCATCCCATGATAGCCTGCTCGCAAACTCAGCACTTCCCTACGTCCAGTATAAAGACGTGCCATCAGCAAAGCCATCTCGATGGCTTCAGCACCAGTGTTTAATATATAACATTGTTTCAAATTACCAGGGGCCCTTGCTGTCAACTTTTCTGCAAATTCGTGCATCTTTGGTTCCAGATACATGGTGCTGCAGTGCACCATCATACGAAGTTGGCATTTGACAGCTGCCATCATGACCGGATGGCAGTGTCCTATGTTGACTGTGCAGACACCGGCAAACATATCGAGATACCTGGAACAAAATGGTAAATATAAATATAAATATAAATATAACTAGTGGTGTATGGCATCGTGCCTTAAGACAAATCGCTCGAACTTCCCGTACCGTAAAGAAATATTCGAGAAATTTTACACGTTTTCAAATATATTATTACAAATACTGTAACTTCATTATTTTTGCTATTTTGTTATATACGAGCAAATCAAATGTAAATCATAAATCAATTTATTTCCATTAACAATCGTCATTTCATTTCGAATTCAATTTCAAAAAAAAATAGTTGCCCAATTGAGCACAAAATTGAAAAAGTGCTCTCGTATAGTCACAGTCTAAACGCATTTGCAAATAATTCTGTGCGACATTTTCACTTATACTGTGCTTAGCTTGGCGGCATTTTCACGTTTTTCAATAGTTTTCACAAAATTGGAAAAGTACGTAAACAGTCTAAACGCACTTGGGTAAACATTTGTACCAGAGTGGCACTTAGACTGTGCTTAGCCTGGGCAATTTTTTGAATTTTTAATCCAAAATTACAACTAGTGGGTCGCATGGTATCTAGCCTTAAGGCAAATTGCTGGAACTTTCCGTACTAAATATTGTTATTTTTTTAGAAACGATTAACATTTTTAAAAAAAATTTACTTCGAAAAAACTAGATTTTTGAGAACTATGAATTTGACAAAAAAATTATATTTTTTTTGAAAAAAAAGTTTTCTGTATTTTGACATCTTTGGAAATTCTAAACTTTTTTCAAAGCAATCGTACTGCTTTAACTGCATAGAGACAAAATGTCAAAATTTTTATTTTTGAGTTTTTTGTGATTACTATAACTTGCCCTACGGGAAGTTAAAAATATTTTATGGAAAATAAAAAAGATGTAATAATTTTTTTATCCTCAAAAGCAATTGTTTTATCAATACAACAAGAAAGTTTTTTAGATAATTCAAATCGGACGCTTAGTTCACTCAAAAACTGCCATTTTTTGCAGATTTAGTCTTTTTTCATACAATCATACAAACATTTTTTTTACATTTTCTAACTAAAACGTAGAAGCAATTTGAGCTTTATTGCTATTATATAAAGTTCATATTAAATTACAAGCAATCACTGTATACTCCTCCTAAACGATTATTCGGATTTTGATAAATCTTTCTGAAGTTTGTTAAGAAAATTTTCTAGGATGTATATGATTATAAAGTACTGGGATGTATGTGCAATATTGTAGAAATAAATTGAAAAAATTGCAAAAAACGACATGTCATTATTTGCATTGAAAATAAATGAAAACTATCATTTGCCAAAAATTTCAATGCACTTATGAACCTAGACAATATTAGAATATGTATAATAAATTTATGGTTATGTTTAAGAAAAAAGAAATGTCTACATTATTATTGCTGAAAAGCATCTGAGATGTGCCAGAAATGAAAATAGATTGAATAGGCAGATTGAATGATACACATATGAACAGGATATGACAAATTAATTCTATAGAAACATGAAATTAAGTATTAATCGGCGCCGGTCCTACCTTAAATGCGATGCATGCGAAAAATACGTGCGCACGCCTTAGGGGGCGCCAACACAAGATTCGGATATTAAATTTTCAATATAGTTTTTTTTCAATATATAATTTCTTTGCATCTTTTACTAATCTTTTCACAATATTTGTAAAATACGCTAAAAATTTCACTTTATAACAACAAATGAGAAAGTAAAGATGAATACATACAATTCGGCGCTCGCGATATCTATTAGGAGAAGTTTAATTTGCAATTTTGGATATGTTAAATAATAAAAAATTAAATTAATTTAATCCAACATGAAGTACCAGTGTTATGTTATGGTTATGGTTATGTTATACAGTTTAAAAGACTTCAATTTCCAATATAGTGTTCTACATTTAACATCGCTCATCTATTATAAATGTATATGCATTTTGGCGTGAAGAGTAATTTAAAAAACAATAATTATTATTTTTAGGTAATCGGTGAATATTAGTATATTATATTAAAAAAATGTAGACATGGGTACAGGACAACGTCTGTCGTGTCATCTAGTATAAAATATAAATATATCTGTGTTTTGGTTATGGTTTTTTGTGATTCTTACCTGTTGCACTCGTGGTCCCATACCCACTGCATGCTGCCCTGGTGCAGCAACAAAGGTTTTCTGTAAACAGTATTAGAATTCAAGGTTTTTCTTTTACGAATGTTGACGATTTCTTTGTAAGGGCGACCCTTGTACGGTTTTGGCGTGAAATCGTAATCGGGCATCTTGATCTTGGTTTGGGTTCCATATTTGCGGACGATGTGAATCCAGATGGGTTTTGGGAGCATTTTTATTTAGTGTTTGGTTTTAAATTGTTTAAAATGTTTTGACACTATGATTATTGGATATTTTGTTTTTTGATGTGACAGATCGTACATTGTTTCGGAAAGTGACATATTTGAAGATTCTTCAAAACTTTTGCAAGGAGTCATGAATAATTTAAACTTAAAAAGCTGCGGGTTTAGCAGAAAATGAATTACTGGAAGTGCCAGAAGATTTTTTGATACCAACTAAACCTTTGCTTTTGTAGAATTTATGTTAAAAGTTTATTTAAATAATAATACAACCGTTTATGCAGAAGGATAAAAACAGACTGACTGATTATATATTCTTTAACTAATCACATGCATTATAAATTTAATTACCAATCACATGTTTTACATAAAACAAAAGAGAAACATATATACATAAACATAATAGACACAGAGCGTTTAGTATCAAACTTCAACACCTTTCCTCTTGTCGAAAGATTTTGGTGAAGGATTTGATTGATGGAGTTTAGATAAAAAAAAGAGTGCGCGTAAGGATCACACGCGATTGAAGTAAACTTTTAATTGTTACTGATAAAGTACAATTTAAGTTGAGTAAAAATAAATACAATCATAATAAAAATTTTGAATAATGTTCATTAGTAATATGGTAACACTCGTGATGCACACATTTATTATGTCGTCAATCATTATATACATTTATATAATGATAAATTATAAATTATATATTATCATTTTTAAAAATATGTATAATATTTACAACAATATGTAATCAAAGTCGTCCTTGAAATATGACATGATCGTTTTAAAGTATTGCTGATTAATAAATTCTATAATATTCATTCACACAGTGGATTATGTTGAACGATGCTTAAACAAATATTGTTTTTGCAACTTCACTCTTATGTAACAATTGTGTTTGAAGAACTTCATGTAATAAAATCAAACATACATCATTTACTGTTTGTATTTTTTTACTTTTTCGCTGACGATATATCTCATTCCTTGAACAGCTTTAATATCCGTCTTGCCTAAAAAATTTGAAGCCATACTTTTATATTTGTTTTACTTATCAAGCCCTGCCATAGCTTGATCTATGAATCATTTTCTTTTTTTATGTGAACGTTAATGCAATATTCATCATCAATATTACGAGGTAATAAATTAACCATATTATCAACGTCAACAGGCACTTTATAATTTGGCCAAATATTCCAAGTTGTCCATTTGCATGTCGCAATCGTCTAATTTGCATGAAACACAACCTAGGTGAAATTAATCTTTCACATACAGTATCTAGTTTAGTAGATAATTTGGTATAGGTGAAATACAAACCCGTTAAATTTTACACAAAGTGGGAATTTTTACCTGAATTAATATATTTCGACAAGTTTGACATCCAACCTGATTATTTGAATCAATATTCAAAAACATTATGAAGAAGTTTGTTTTTGAGCATCATTTGATATTTCTAAGTCACTTTGAAGCCAAAGTCGATCACACACAAAACATACATAGCCAAAGCTATCATTTCTTACGCAGCGCATATTTTTCATATGTTTCATTATTTGCGATTATTTGCACTACAATTATTTGTGGGGGACGGGATAAAATATTCTTCCGATCCTGACATTTTTATTAACTCACGATTTATACTGCTAACCCGTGTCGCGCCTAAAGAAGTTTTTACACCCATTTCACGCCTAAAGAAGTTTTGCTTCAAAAAATTGTGAATTAATTTGATATTGACAATGATTGGTGATAACGTAGGTAGATGTTTGAGGATGCAGGTTGCCCAGAAACAACATTATTAAGAATGTAGACTGTAGTTAAAGTAGATTGTTGATGGCTTTGAGACATTGGTTGATGATATATAGATGAATGATGACTTTGATTGATTACAAATTGGATTGAAAAAGTCATTTATTAACAAAAACCTTGTACATTATTACTAGACAACTGTATTTTTCTGAGGTACAAATTACATTCTTACAGATACAATATTTAGACATTAACTACTATCTAATGCCCTTGCTGATTTTTTTATTTCCCACGTCCACAAAATCCTGTGAATCAAAACTTCACCAAAAAACACCAAACAACTTCCTGCCAAACACATCAAAAGCGCCTTAAAAACAAAATCCAGCTGGTCCATCGTATAATAATATCTAACCTCCTTCTTCAATTGTTCTTTCTTAAACTTGGTCAGCGAAATTTCAAACATAACATCATCCAAAATCTTGAACATGACTCCATTCTCGCATAAATTCAGCAGAACTTGATTGAAACGTTTTTTGTACGGTGATTTTTTTAAAGTCATCATTGACGCAGGGATTGTTTTTACAGATCTCAAGACGTGTGTTAAACTTTTGCCTTGTTGGTTGTACAATTGGGCTTTCATTATCTCACAAAACATCTCGCCGATTATATAAGCAGTGTCTTTGTGCTCCAGAATTCTGTGAATCATTTTTGTATGGTTGAGGCTGACTTCTAATTTGCGGTTGGCTGTGAGTTTTTCATCGCTTGATAGACTTTTGATGTCGATTGCTCCTTTTAAGGATGATGGTAAGGTGATTTTTAAATCGCTTTGTAGAAGTTGGCGTACGTTTTTGATGTCTAAGGATTTTTTGCTGGTCGTCAAATGTTGCACCATCTTGGCTTGGTAAGTCGAGCACAGGATTAAAGAACAAAAGACGACTGATACGAACAGACATCTCTCGTACAAAAATTTGCTCATGGGTTGCGTCGTCATTAGCATAGCTCCGAAAATTACAAAAACCACACGCAAGACGTCCAGATAATTCTCAAAACTGTAATTTATTATGCAGACGTGTCAATTGCACCCAAACCAAAAACACCAGGGTTATAAAAACAAACAAAGCCAAACCACACGAATATTCCACGGCCTCCAAATATGATACCTCGAAATCTGAACCTCTTTTTGGCATCAAAACGCTAAAACCTTTCTGGTGAATTGCATACAAGTATACGGATTTTACCAAATGCTTTTTTTGGATTGTTCTGATGTTTGCTGCCAAATCGACTTCACCATTTTCCAAGGCGTTTAGGGCACCTGTGTAATTGTTTTTTTCGGCAACCCAGTCGCCAAAGTGGTTGCGATTTGTTGTGTTCACAAAATTCACACGAAAATTCATGGTTTGGGAGAGCACTTTGAGGACTTGGCCATCTACCATTGTGTAATCTGGAATGACAGAAATATAGTTAAGGAATTTTTATCAATTGTAATTTTTATCATTTGCAGTTATTGAAATTCGAAAGTATTGACATTTTGAATTATTGACACTTGAAATTTTCGTCATTTGGAACTAGGGTTTGTCGGTTTTCAAAAACCAGTTTTAAAAATCGTTTTTTTGGCAAAAATTATGGAATTCGAAAAACCGGTTTTCACTGTATAAATGGAAAATGACAATTATAGCCAAATGTAAAAGATAGATGAAAGCGTTTTGATTCTTGAAATCATTTCGGTTCAATTGCATTTGATATCTTATCAATGGTTCCCAGAAAGGTTTTGTATATATTAATTTAGATTTTTGTACCATTGTATATTAATTTAAATCAGTATGACTTCTTCTTGAAGTAACTTTCTCTACTCAAACCTAAAAAAAAGAGTTTTAAACCCTAGAAGCTACAAATAAAAGAAAAAAAAATTAGGCTTTAAAAACAAATAAGCATAACTTGGTCGAGTATTTTCTATTTCAGAAAATTTTGTGAGAAACAATAAAGGTCATGTTTAAGTAACAAACCGATAATTCTCAGTTTTTTAAAATCATATTTATTAAACAAAAAAATAATTAGAATGTAAAATTAATTAATTGAAATCGCTCGAAACCGGCAATACGCGAGTTTAACTTAATTGTTTTTAAAACTAAAATTGATATTGACTAGAATGTATCAACTTGTATCTAATTTTTTTTAATTTGATGCATTTTTTTATTTAAAATATATTATTTTTATTTATTCAAAAACTTTCCTTTCACTATCATAAAAATAATTTCATTATTATATGTGAAAATGATGCATGAACGAATAATTATTTTCAAAGTTATTTAATCAAGATAAACTATTATTTTTTAGTTCTGCTAATTAAAATTAAAATAATTCTGTTTACTGTCTATAAAATTAAACAATAAATAAATTCAGTCAAATACTGCTCTAAAATACACTAAATTTGCGAATAAATTCGAGCAAAAATTTATTTTCTATATAAAATTCAAAAACCGGTTAAAATCGGTTTTTCAGTAAAATTAAAATTCGAAAACCGGTTTTCTGAAATGTCGGTTTATATCCGCAAATTTAGTGTGATTTAGAGCAGTATTTGACTGAATTTATTTATTGTTTAATTTTATAGATAGTAAACAGAATTATTTTAATTTTAATTAGTAGAACTAAAAAATAATAGTTTATCTTGATTAAATAACTATGAAAAAATAATTATTCGTTATTCATGCATTATTTTCATATATAAGAATGAAAATATATTTATGAAAGTGAAAGGAAAGTTGTCGAATAAATAAAAATAATACATTTTTAAATAAAAAAATGCATTAAATTAAAAAAAAATAGAAAATATTAGATACATGTTGATACATACTTGTTAATATCAATTTTCGTTTTGAAAATAATTAGGCTAAACTTTTATTTCTGTTCCGAGCAATTTTAATTAATTAATTTAACACATTCTAATTGTTTGCTGTTTATTAAAATATGATTTAAAAAAACTGAGAACGTCTATCGAATTGCTACTTAGACATGACCTTTATTGTTTCTAACAAAATTTTCTAAAATAGAAAATACTCTCATACCTGCGACCAAATTATGCTTAATTGTTTTTAAAGCCTGATATAATAATTCTAAGTTTTTTGTTCTTTAATTTGTGGCTTCAAGAATAAGTCACACTGATTTAAATTATTATATACAATGGTATAAAAATCTAA